GTGGCAAATACCGTCGTAACGAAAGAAGAAAAACTTCGTCTTGTAGGCCCCCGCATTGCTAGGGTAACTATGTATCCCAGCTTCTATAGTAGGTCACTTGGACAAGTAGTAGGAATCCTTGTCCTTGCTCTTTTTTAGGATATACGAGCAACTGAGCTACCCGTTCTCATGACACGCGATGTACATGGCAATGACAATCATGTACGCATTCGACATGAGTTGCATCGGTGCGATCCTGAAATGATCCAGGACCGACCTAACAAAAAGGTGGAAAGGGATCAACCTTCCACCCTTGAAGATATCCTCGGAGATCGCGGCCAACCCACGTGGAGGATACCGCGCTGTGCGTGTCCTATTGCGGAAGACCTCCACGCAGATAGCGTATTGGTCTATCACCCTTTCGAGCTCATCCTCAGTAAGTACCGAGAAGATCTCTCGAATGGGACTCGCAAGAGCATCCTGCATAGACGAACTAGTCCCTTCCTCAGATCTGATCGTTGAGGGGTCCATTCTACTGCAGTCTGTAAAAGCGACAAGCAGGGAATCATTTAGCCCTCGTACACTAGTTCGTACGATGATGTGGAGGAAAGCAAACACTTCCCTTTCTCAATCCCAGAAAAACTCTAACATAATGTTTCGAGCTGCCATTCATGGCTTGAACCCAGCAAGAACATTTCGTCTCCGATCAACTATCGACAGACTGATATCATTTATCAACTCTGGGAGTAAGAAATAAAAGTAGAGAGCGATCCTTACCTCTTGGAATATGAAGATGAATCCTTCTGCTTTGAATAACAGATACGCGCTGGTTTGGAAGGCAAAGAATCCAAGTTTGCAAAAGTCTCTTGCTCTCTTTGAAAAGATGAGTATGGTGACATTGCCTGAAATGAACCTGGGTTTTATAGAAAAAAGAATTGGCGCTTGGTTTTCCTGAAATCAAAAGACGTTTGGACAAAAAAATGTATCTCACCGTTGATCGCGACCACGTGTCGCAGATCTGCGGGGAAGGGTGATCGTCACGCTCCAAGAAAACCAAATCGTCGTTCTTCTTCGTTGAAAAACTCAAGCGATGGCACGTTCTCCTTACGCATTAAATGTGCCCCAATCTGCATTTAATACTCTGATAGGGGATATCGCTTCAGCATGTCACGCATTTAATGCGCATGACTGGCATTTATTGCGCACAGGACAAGTCTGTCAGAGCAGAAGGCGTTTCATTAAATGTATCCATTACAAAAATACGACAGGTAACGTCTGAAGAGATCATTATGTAGAACACTCTTCGTCTAGCCAGTCACAAAGCGACGTGATTCCTCGATTCTACCCCATTGGTCGCGAAGCGACGTGACTCTCGACGAGTATTCAGTTCCAAAACAGTCTAATCCCCTGTCGAGAGGAGAATTCCAAGTATAATCAGGTCGTTCATCCTTGAGCAAAGACTATATCAGATCGCGCGCACAAAAGCGTAGTCTCGACCTCTTTTCAAACAGGTTGGAATCACCAGAATTTCCTCGAAGGCGTCTTATCACGGCATGAATTATAGTTTCCAAGGTTCGATCCTCAAACCTTAAAAACCAGGGGACTTCTGTTATGCCTGAAAAAGTAGGGCTGACACAAAACCCAGTCAGCATAAAAAGTCAAAGCTTAGGTAGGTCCGCAGCCAGTCAGAGGCAGCCACGTCACACAATGACATGAACGACATGCTCCTGTCAGGGCAATGGGTGCGCGTCAGACCAGCCAGGAGCTAGAGTGATTCCACGTGTCTAATCCCTGCACCAAATCGCATAAATCGCTCTAGAAGGTGGGCAATGGGACATAAAGAAGGATTTGCACGGATAATCCCACCAACTCATAGATTTAGTAATCATAACCTTGACCCATCCCACTATAAATTGAGAGCTTCTCTCTCATTTGGGGGATTAGCTAATCTCTTTAAAGAAAAATAGCATTCTCTCTCTCTCTCTCGTGTAATCATTTGTAAGTCAGTTCGCTGAACGCGACCTGGTCAATATTATTAATACAAAATTAGTGGACGTAGGATTTGCTTCCTTGAGCATCCGAACCACTTTAAACACTGTTCTCCATTGCTTTTACTTTCACTCTCTCATCCACGTATATCTTCTGGGCCAGCTCAGCATTTCGTACGTGCATTTGGTTGGTGTCAAAATCACGCATCAACAAACTTCAAGCAGTTAAAGTTTCTCTCTGCAATGAGTTTTTCTCAAATTTAATGTATTTTGGCCGTATATATATGACATTAAATAAATGATGAACAGATGTGTGTCCAACAGTGTGATCCCTAACTGGCTAACTCTCCATTGATCTTGACACTTCTCAATTCCCATACTCTGAGATGCACGTAATCCAGACACGAACGTCTGAAGAGGAAATTATCTAGACACCAGGTTATTAGCACACAGAACCACCTTTCGGCCTTTTGAGTGAGCACAAAATATATGCTTATATATTAGGAAACAGCTTGTTGCAGCTGGCCTGTCTTCTAATTTCCAGCATCCTATCTGAACCATTATGGCTATCTGTATATCTTTTTTTTTTTTTTTTTGTCTATTTCTTTCGTGATGTATATATTCAGGATTTGATATATTCTAGTAGATTATTCAATATATAAATATTGGAGTAAATGTGGGCTCTCTTTTCTAGTGTTCTTTGTGAAAAATTTGATAGTGTTTATTGCAAAAACTTTTATTAAAAAAAAGAAAAAAAAGGCAACGGTCTTAAAGCACTTTCTGATCTCAACAGATGTTTTTATCTATTTCAATCAAACAGTTTTAAAAATACATATATTATCAAAATAAGGTTAAAACATGCATAAATATAGTGTAATTTATACCCTACTTCGCCAATATTAATGCATGATTTAAAAAACATAAATGAGCTTTTAAGATGACATGAATCGTCAATCTTTATTTTATAATAAATCTCGACGGCCGACAAATGACAATATATAAATATTTATCAACATAAGAGGAAAAAATTGTTTGTAGTTAAATAATGACCCTAATCTCGATTCTCGAAAAGCAAAATCCTGTTACTACTAATGCAAAGAAGGAAAGAATGTCACGTATCCAGATCGATGATAAGGTAAAAAGAAATTAATTAAGAATGCAGACCTTTCAAAAAGCCACTATAGAAGGATAACAAATTCCCTGTGCTGAAACGTGTATTATGTTATTCCTTTAATCCTAAATTCTAAAGGAAAGATAAGCTTTACACTAGCAAATCATTCTCCTGTTTGCCTTCCATTTCAAACAATATTTAAGCGAACATCAAGAATGACAATTGCCAAAAGAGTTTTGATCATTGAGAACGAGATCGATTAAATTGTGGGGTACGCAGATAGTTCTCTCGATCCATTTAGCATTTTAGTGTGACTTGGTATTGAAGAATGGAGAAGCACCCTATGTAATTCAAGAGAATTAAAGAGTAAACCCATCTCATCCAACATTTTCTCACTCATTCATCAGGAAGGATATATTTTTCTGTATCACTGACAATCTGGTTCCCACATGAAAACTGAAATGCTTTATGAATTGCCATTAATTATATTTAATTAAAATATGATGTCCAGGACACAGCTACATACGTGTATATNGCGGCGGCAGGAGCCAGGGGTGATTTCGTAATAAATTAAAGTTTTATATAAGCAGGGGTGTTTTAACTAAATCTGAAATATTGGGGGTTAAAAGAAATTATTCAAAAATTAATAATAAAAATAATATTATATTAATATTTGTAAAGGGGACAATTTAGTAATTTAAATACCATACCCACCAATTTATTCCCTATAACCAACCATATTAATATAACATACCCACCAACTAACCAAACATATTTTCTTAAAGATTCCCATTAATCTTTCAAGGTAATCTATCTTTCTAGTAATCCAACATTCCCAGTAATCTAACATTCCTGAACCAAACGCCCCTAAAGAGTATACCCCTCTCATCCAACATTTTCTCACTCATTCACCAGGAAGGATATATTTTTCTGTATCACTGACAATCTGATTCCCACATGAAAACTGAAATGCTTTATGAATTGCCATTAATTATATTTAATTAAAATATGATGTCCAGGAGACAGCTACATACGTGTATATGTACTTGATTGCTTGTAAGAATAAATGCTGCAATTTTTTGCTAGGGAAATGCAATTCGAGCGAGGTTGCATTATTTATGTCTTCGACGCATCTGGATCTCTAAGGAATCAAAAGCTTAAGCTTTTACTTTGCGTGTTCTTATGTCCATACAAATTAACGACTTGTATTATCAAGTGGGGTAATGCAAAAACTTGAGGTGTTCGGCTATATGCTTGAATGTGTGAATATTATGTGTCCGACGGTCTCCGGAGTCTCTCGAATTTTCTCAAAATCTCAGCATCAATGGTCATTTATGAAGAAAAATCATTACTAGTAAAGAAAATAAAAAAACAATATCATACGACAAGCAGAGTAATTCTTTTTTAGATCTATTTATGATTAATTTAGAGCTGTCATAAATCGTTTTTCAATATTTGTTTTTAAGTTACAAAAGACCCTCGTGTTTATGTCTTTACTAAGTCTGAAAAAGCTCATTATATGTGTGCAACATTTCCTTGATGCAAACGTAACGTTTCTGATGAATATTAATTAATTAATTAGCAAAATTAATCTGATGGAAAATAATGAGATTCATTAGAAAGAAACGTGGATACAGGCTACAGAGTTTGTTAATTATTTAAAGTGCAGACATGACTAGCTAAAAGGGACGTTTCATGGTAAGTTGAAGCTTGTCAGCTTTCAGTCACATGCACTGGTCTCCCAATTAACTCCAAGGTCAGGCCTTCCATGTCCTTTCTTTCTTGTCTTCGACCGTCAATGTAAATAATTTTCTGGTAAATTTATTACGCGACTATTCCACTCTTCAACCATCTAAAGCCTATATATAGCCACCAAAGTCTCTCGCTAAAAGCAACCTCCGAAAATTGCTTCATCTCACAAAATAAACTGAAGCATAAATCCTTGATCATGGCTAAACACAGTGCTAGCAGCAAGAAGAAAAGTAGCATTGTAAAGCTCAAGATTGTCGTGGAAAGACTACACAAGAGTCTTTCATTGGGTAGGAAATCAAATTCTTATTCTGACGAGGTGGAAGAAGTTAATGACTCAAGTTATGTGCCCGAAGATGTTAAGGAAGGACACTTTGCGGTGATAGCTGTGGATGGTGAGCAGCCGAAGAGATTTGTGATTCCATTGAGTTATCTGACTCACCCAGGATTTCTTAAGCTGTTGGAGCAAGCGGCAGAAGAGTATGGTTTTGATCATGAGGGTGCATTGACGATCCCTTGCAGGCCATGTGAACTTGAGAGGATACTGGCCGAGCGATGGAAGGATCAGGATGGAGAATCTAGTGATAATGTTGGTGTCAACTGGGGGTCTTATGAAACTATGGTGCAAATTTGTTGAAAGAGAAGGTTTAATTTCTTCTTCTTGCTCCTTGTAGTAGATACTACTGTTTCTTGTAAACTCTAGTAATGGTTCTTGCCAATACAAGTTCTTGTGTACTGTTTATATTTGTTGACTTGATGAAAATTTTGTTTCCAGCATGTATAATTTTGGAGCAACAAATTTTAATGATAACTTCTGTTGTGCGTAGTTTTCCCACGGTTTGATTCGCGCCAACTGTCTAAAGGCTATGCCAAGATCAAGCGAACGAGATCGTCACATGTGTCGCTCCCATAGCAAATAACTTTGTCAATAAGTCCATTAGTCCTAAGCATCACTACTTTGATTTAAGTATGGGTAAAACTGACTTACATCCGGATTACATGGGATTATGCATGTAATCTATTCATAATCTACCAACTCTTAACTACTATCAAAACACACGTATAAAAGGAGAGTGTCGCCTCCAATTATAAGGACATTCATATACACATACACAACTTTGTAAAAAACCCTTGAAACACATTCTTAAGCAAAGAGCTTACTCAGTGAAGCCCCCGTAAGCTCACTATCATGGTTCCCTCCTTGTAATCTATTTACATGTACTCCAGGTCCAAATAATAAGATAGTAGTAGATGTAGGCTTGGTTCTAACCTGTCGAACTACTTTAAAAATCTTATTTGTCTTTTGTTATTTGGCATAAACTCCATTACTTAGCTGATTATCCAAAATCATATGCACATGCTACCTAGTCCCGTCTTGGTCGACTAGGTACCTTTGGTTGTTGTGGATTTTCGTAACAATTTTTTTTACCATTTAACTGGAATGAGTTCTATGATTTGAATGGGTAGTTGAAATCATAGGAAATCCCATTGAAATTCTGAAATCACTATAAAAATTTTGTCAACAACTTATTTTAAAGTTTTGCAAGTAATCCGTCATTAATCTCTCTAATTTGCTTTAGTCGTGCCTCAATAAATAGAAAACCGATAATAATTTGGTTGTATTTTGGTGCAAATAAATATATAGCTAGCTAGCCAACATTAAAAAATGTGTATATCACCTCTTCATATACTATAGTTTCTTAATTAATAACTTTTTTTTTTTTTGGGTAACTGATAATTTTATAAAGAATAAAGAATTTACAACTAAACAGGGAACTCCTAAACGAAGCAACCCTTTAAGAAAACAAATGGATCGCTAGCAAAAAGGAACACAAAAAAGCAAGGATATACAATCATTTACTCAACATTACACACCCTAGAGCAACCCATAGCGAAAGCCAAATTGCGGACCAAAACAGCTCCACAACAAACGATAAAGTAGACTGGGCTGTCGTAAAATTCACGGCATCCACCTGCACACCCTAAACAACAAGGACCCAAGCATCCAAGCCACCCCAACCAACCAAAAGACCAACCATAGGAAAGAAAGAAATCAAGGCACATAATAAAGGGAGCAACCCCCACTCACGGGCAACATCAAGCCACGATAAACAACACCTCTCCCAGCCTTCATGACCAACCCTAAGAAGCCAGCAACCTAGCTTCACCCCAACACAACACCTACCCCTCAACACAAAGAAAGCCCCAACCTTGTCCACCAGCCAAAAACCCTCCCACAAGCCAAAATGACCAGAAAGAGACAGAGCAGACCACACACCAACCACCTCAAGAGGGATATCTTCTGCCAGAACCATTATCCTCGACAAGCCCAAAACCAAACAAAAAACAAAAAACGAACATCCACATAAAATCATCTCTGATTTCTAGAACCCATCACTAGACAACTCATAGGAATACCCCATTCCTCCCAAGCTATCTGAACTTTAAAGTTATCCTTAAAGAGGATGCTCATCAACCAAAGCCTAACAACTCCCAAAATGTGATGCCCNTTTGTGATTCCATTGAGTTATCTGACTCACCCAGGATTTCTTAAGCTGTTGGAGCAAGCGGCAGAAGAGTATGGTTTTGATCATGAGGGTGCATTGACGATCCCTTGCAGGCCATGTGAACTTGAGAGGATACTGGCCGAGCGATGGAAGGATCAGGATGGAGAATCTAGTGATAATGTTGGTGTCAACTGGGGGTCTTATGAAACTATGGTGCAAATTTGTTGAAAGAGAAGGTTTAATTTCTTCTTCTTGTTCCTTGTAGTAGATAGTACTGTTTCTTGTAAACTCTAGTAATGGCTCTTGCCAATACAAGTTCTTGTGTACTGTTTATATTTGTTGACTTGATGAAAATTTTGTTTCCAGCATGTATAATTTTGGAGCAACAAATTTTAATGATAACTTCTGTTGTGCGTAGTTTTCCCACGGTTTGATTCGCGCCAACTGTCTAAAGGCTATACCAAGATCGAGCGAACGAGATCGTCACACGTGTTGCTCCCACAACGAATAACTTGGTCAATAAGTCCATCAGTCCTAAACATCACTACTCTGATTTAAGTATGGGTAAAACTGACTTAGATCCGGATTACACGGGATTATGCATGTAATTGATTCATAATCTACCAACTCTCAACTACTATCAAAACACAAGTATAAAAGGAGGGCGTCGCGTCCAATTATAAGGACATTCATATACACATACACAACTCTGTAAGAAACCCTTGAAACACATTCTTAAGCAAAGAGCTTACTTAGTGAAGCCCCGTAAGCTCCCTATCATGGTTCTCTCCTTGTAATCTATTTGCATGTACTCCAGGTTTAAATAATAAGATAGTAGTAGATGTAGGCTTGGTTCTAACCTGTCGAACCACTTAAAAAATCTTCTTTGTCTTTTGTTATTTGGCATAAACTCCATTACTTGGCTGATTATTCGAAATCATGTGCACATCCTACCCAGTCCCGTCTTGGTCGACTAGGTACCTTTGGTTGTTATAGATTTTCGTAACAACAACATTTTTTACCATTTAACTGGAATGAGTTCTATGATTTGAATAGGTAGTTGAAATCATAGGAAATCCCATTGAAATTCTGAAATCACTATAAAAATTTTGTCAACAACTTATTTTAAAGTTTTGCAAGTAATTCGTCATTAATCTCTCTAATTTGCTTTAGTCGTGCCTCAATAAATAGAAAACTGATAATAATTTGGTTGTATTTTGGTGCAAATAAATATATAGCTAGCTAGGTAACATTAAAAAATGTGTATATCACCTCTTCATATACTATAGTTTCTTAATTAATAACTTTTTTTTTTGGGTAACTGATAATTTTATAAAGAATAAAGAATTTACAACTAAATAGGGAACTCCTAAACGAAGCAACCCTTTAAGAAAACAAATGGATCGCTAGCAAAAAGGAACACAAAAAGGCAAGGATATACAATCATTTACTTAACACTACACACCCTAGAGCAACCCATAGCGAAAGCCAAATTGCAGACCAAAACAGCTCCACAACAAACGATAAAGTAGACTGGGCTGTCGTAAAACTCACGGCATCCACCTACACACACTAAACAACAAGGACCCAAGCATCCAAGCCACCCCAACCAACCAGAAGACCAACCATAGGAAAGAAAGAAATCAAGGCACATAATAAAGGGAGCAACCCCCACTCACGGGCAACATCAAGCCACGATAAACAACACCTCTCCCAGCCTTCATGACCAACCCTAAGAAGCCAGCAACCTAGCTTCACCCCAACACAACACCTACCCCTCAACACAAAGAAAGCCCCAACCTTGTCCACCAGCCAAAAACCCTCCCACAAGCCAAAATGACCAGAAAGAGACAGAGCAGACCACACACCAACCACCTCAAGAGGGATATCTTCTGCCAGAACCATTATCCTCGACAAGCCCAAAACCAAACAAAAAACAAAAAACGAACATCCACATAAAATCATCTCTGATTTCTAGAACCCATCACTAGACAACTCATAGGAATACCCCATTCCTCCCAAGCTATCTGAACTTTAAAGTTATCCTTAAAGGGGATGCTTATCAACCGAAGCCTAACAACTCCCAAAATGTGATGCCCCACCCAACGCCAGTGACGACTCTTTCCACTAAACAGACGAGCATTTCTCTCCTGCCAAATATAGTAGACAGTTGCCACAAGAAGGAGTTGACGGATAATAGCTCACACACATTTACCTTTAAACTTACTCGCACACCAAACTGCAAATTGATCCCAATCAATTATAGGAGCTCTAAATTTACCTTTCACTTGAGTCATTTTCTAGATTTCATTGGAGAAGGGGCACTCAAAGAAAAGATGATCATAAGAGTCCAAAGGGCCATTACAAAATGCACACTTCATATTTGAGGTATCCGACCATAAGCTCATTCTATCTTGGGTGAGAAGCTTGTGCTTAATGGCCAACCACATGATGAAAGAGTGACAAGGAATACAGTTCCCAATGCAGATAAGAGAGTGTCAGAGGACATGGCAACCTTTCGAGGAGAAATCTCAACAAGTTTGTCTAATCGAAAATCTGACCTTCTTACCTTCCTTAGACAACCAAAACACCTCATCACCGATGTAGCTAGAAGAGAAACTAGGGGTTTGACTCACCACTTGGGGAAACCTTTCTTGGATAATCTCAGGCCAAACCTATCGCTCATCCTTGAAAATATCACTCACTTTAGCATTTTGACCCAATCTCAAAGCATACACCATCTTGGGAGAAATAATATTGTCTATTGGTCCTAACGGGTGTCAAGGATCATACCATAAAGAAGTGGACTAGCCATTACCCATAGCAACATTGATATGCCTCATGACCTTATTTCTCATCCCTAGAATCTTCTACCAGCTTCAGCTAGCATCCCAAGGAACTTTACCACTGCAAAAATTTATGTCACGTAACTAGGCTAAATGGATCCATTTAACCCAAAGGGAGTCCTTCCTTGAAACCACGCTCCATAAGTGATAGGTGATTCTAACTTTTCAACGGATGGATACCCAACCCACCTTCATTCTTAGGCACATAAATATCATTCAAAGTTACTTTAACTCTACCATTAACCATGTCATTACCATGGCACATGAAAGTGACCTTAGGAGGATGAACATGGACGCCTAATACACTTGCATGGAGGAAAGCACCGAGACAACCAATTGGAGATGACTAGCATAGGAGAGACTTTTATTAGTCCAAGATTTGAGTCTCTTTTCCACCTTGTCGATAAGTGAAAGGCAGTCAACATGGCAAAG